AAGAGCCGGTGAAAGAATACGAAGGTCAACAAGGAGGCGTGAAGGTGGTTGCCAGTGGAGAATAAGTTGGACCATAGGAAGCCCATTAAGAACTAAGACGCTCAATGGTCAACTATAAAGTAGAAGTGTAGGGGTCCAGAACGGTCGAAGGGAAAACCTTATCGGTCAAGGTACATAAGTGAGAAGAGAATATGGGCACCAAGATGACTACATCAAGGACGAGGGACATATAGAACTAGCGAGAAACATCGATAAGAGGAGTCACGAGTAAAGAAGTAAGATGGATATGAGTTTAGCGAACCTGCTAGGATACCCTAAAGTGAAACCAAGACCGCCTATGAGGGTGAAAGGTGGCGATCTCTTGGGTGACAATTTCTTGGACGGGGAAACTCTACGATGAATTTCAGCCAAGGTCTAAGAACGATAGAAGAGATAGTACGAGAAATCCCAAGTCAAACGGTGATAAGGAAGTGGTGAGTTAGGCGCCAGGAGTGAACAAGTATGCAAAATGGAAGGTCATGATTCTGGAAAGGAGTCATAAAGTTGATCGCAAGCTAGATAAAGATGCAAAGGATGCTTCTAATGCGTACAGAAAGTATAAACAGTAGTATGAGGTTCCATCACTAAGCAGCAAGTAACGAGGAGGTGACCATTCAGTTTATGATTAATGGATAAGACGAGGCATTAAGGAAGAAAGTAAGAGATGCAAAGTTAGAAGATACACGGACCTAGGTGACCTATGATGTCAACCCGGATGAGAGTTACGTTAAACGAGTTTTACCATCTGACTAGATAAAGGGTAAGTCGCCATCTGTAACCTTGGGGTTCGAGAGAAGCATTAACTTCTCATGTACCGAGTAATGGATAGTTAGTGTTCCGAATATATGTACAAGGTGCAGCCTAGGTAATGTGAGGGATTAAGAAGCCACAACAACATTGAAGTTGCAGGGAAGGGAGAGAAGGATTTTAGGTCATGTCGTATAAGTTAAAAGGAAATACTAATCCTCGAAGTGAAAAGGATTACCACAAGCGATGCTTAGGGTAATCACAGTGGACAAATTTCGAGGGAAAAATTTCTATAAGTGGGGAGGAAATGTGATACCTCGACTTCGATGGGTTCAACATCAAGTACTGGGCCCAAGTTGGAAAATTTTGAAAAGGGCAATGAGTCACTCAAACATATTCGATGCTACCGAGCTAGATGAGAATACATGTTATGGTCAAGAGTGCATATAAGAACAAGAGTAAGCTATTCAAGACAAGGTAAGGGCACGCCATTGAATTTCATATAGAAAGAGTGAAATCTCGAGCTAAAGAAGCACGGGAATGAGGAGTATGAAAGGATGAGCCCGATCAAATTTCGGGGACGAAATTTTTATAAGGGTGGAGGAAATGTTGCACCCCGCTTTTCCCAAAAGTCAAAATGACTATTATACCCTTGGGTCAAGTTCCAACGTATTGTCGATGAGGATTAAAAATGGGAACTATCGGTTCAAGTGGTGTCGAATTTCGACATAAAATGAGAAAGTTTCGGACGTTAATTGAGTTTCGGACTAAAATTGCGAGATTCCCAAAATACCCTCCAACTAATTAAACCCTAGACTCTATTCGGCCTCATCCTAAACACTAATATCTCCTCCTCTACCAAAAACAACTTGCTCTCGCGCGCAGGGCTGCTTTTCCCTGGTGCGATGCTAGGCGACGGAGAGGCATCGGCGTGTGCTTTCCCTACCACGAGGATGTGATCTCTACCAAGAGAGGTGCTAGCTTAACTAGCCAAAGGCGATGCTATCCTGGGAGATCAAAGCGGCGCTACCGACTCCCTCCACCACGAGAGGTGCTAGTTTAAGCAAGCAGGACCATTATTCAAGCAAGCAGGACCATTATGCCCACTCCCTCCATCACGAGAGGTGCTAGCTTAAGCAAGCAGGACCATTATTGAAGCAAGCAGGACCTCCACCACGAGAGGTGCTAGCTCAAGCAAGCAGGACCATTATTCAAGCAAGCAGGACCATTGCGTATGCGGACGAGGGCGTTTGGGACGTGAGTTCTCTCTACTATGTGTCAGGTGTTGGGTTAGACCAGCTCCGGATAATAGACGTGCCTGACCTTCTCTCTACTATGTCAGGTGTTGCTTAGACCTACTTCGGACAATGGACGTGCCTGGTTGATAATTGCTTAGACCTGCCTGCTTCGGATAATGGACATGGGAGGAAGTTTTGTGTAGCCAGATAAAGCTTTTGGAACTAGGATGAACGTGTCAAATCAGGAGTGGTGGTTAATTCGAGTAAGCCGACTTGAATAGTCAGGTGAGTGTGAAGGGGGTAAATTCTACGCCTTACGATTTTCAAGTATTTGCATTGAGTACTTTCGAGTATTGCTTTACGTGATGTATGTGCAGTATTTGATTCATGTTTGAGATTGCATGATTATTGTTGGTGATATGTGCCTTGTTTGAATTATGACTTGAAGTGACTGGTTATTATTTACCTTGAAATTTTCCTGAGTATAAGTTATTGTAAAAGTTTAAGAAACAAGTTCTTTTTAAGAAGTAACTCACCTTCAAGAAGGTGAAGTCGTTTTAAGTGTTTTTAGTCACTAGCGCCAGTCTGTTGCCTTTTGAGACAGTTTGAGATAGAGCAGCAGTTATGCCCTCGAGACTTTTAAGATGGGCAGCAGTTATGCTCTTGAGAATCGTGGTGAAGAGCCACCACGATAAGTTTAAGATGTTAGGGGGATGAATCGTTACGACTCCCCTAACTAAGTTTAAGTTTAAGGAAAGCCTGGATGGCTTCTCATGCGTATGAGTTGGCAACGGGACTAGCTAGTAAGGAATCCCTGTGTCAGTCAAGTATCTAAGTCAAGTTTTGAGATTTAAAGATGGAGTAACGGTAACTCCCATACAGTTTTAAGAGTTAAGCTTTTTAATAGTGGAAGTACAAAACAACTTCCACCCAGTTAAGTAAAGTGCTCAAGTTTTAATAAGATGTTAAACGTAAGGGCGTAGACTGACCCCATCTCACTCACCAGTTGAAGAGCTAGAGGAGCAATTAGTGAGCAGCGAGTTCGAGGCCAGCCAACTAGAGGAGAGCAGTATATGCGTCATGGAGGATGCTTAGTCAAGGTTTTCAGTAGCAACAACATAAGAGATTAGTAGTTATTTACATTTATGATTATGAGTATAGACTAGAGATCATTTTGAGATTTTAAGCATTGAGTTTGCCCATGTGTTAGGGCGTTGCTTTGAACTACAAGTGTGTGGTTTAAGTATTTATTTATGAAAATTTTTCCCGCTGCAATTTAAGAGTTGAGTATTTTATTTGTCAAGGGCATTTTAGTAAAAGTAGTATCCGACCGGGTTAGGGTGTTACAGGAACAACTGACTAAACTGTTAAATAATGACATGTTAATTAAAAAAACAAAAATTAATAAAAATCAACCCCGCCTCCCCTCCATCGTCTTCTTCGCCTTCTCAAGAATCCTCTCAACAAAACCAAATTCCAAACTAGCAGATGCTACCGTGAAAAATTAAACGGCAGTCGCGACAACAATTGCGTCCTCGTCGTCGTTAAATTAAAGTTCCTGAGATCTCCGACGACCCTCTCCTCAATTGATTTCTCTGGTTCTTCTTCCTTGACGGCTTTCAATTGACACTATAGCCATGACTGCGATTGTAACGATTCACGTTTCAGTTCAAGTCGTCGGAACCCGAAACGAAATAATTGTCCTCCCCGTCGAAAGCATTGGAAAGATAGGACCCAATCTGGTTGAGGTCGTAGCGGAACCCGACATTGATTCCAAGCCACAGCAACAGCAGCAGCAGCAGACGGCCGACTTTGCTCGCGATTCCGCAGTCAATCAGTGGTGAATGGCGAGAAGGAAGACGAGACTTAATTGCATCAACAGATTCACAGTCTCAAGCTTGAAGGAAAATGAGAGGCAGAGTAGCAGATTCACAATTGGTGGGTTTTTGGTTCGATTGACAGGCTGGGAGGAGAAGGAGATTGAAAAAGAAATCCACTGATTTTCTAATTTGGTTCGATTGGCAGGTTGGGTGGAGGAGGAGATTGAAGAAGAATTGATAGGTTTCTTGGATTTGGTTTGATCTACGGGCAAGAGGGGTAGAAAATTGTAGAATCGAGAGGGAGATGGAGGAATCGGTAAAGACATGAGATATATCAAATTATGAAGGTAGATGGATATGGATTTGTGTGGGAGTGGAAGGTTGTTGACGAGATTGAGAAGAGGCCAATGAAGATCTTGGCAGCGGAGGGGAAATCAGTGGTGGAATTCTTTATGGATCTCAAGGTGATGGTGATGCATTTGTCGGGAATGAGAGTCTCGACCTTACTCCCAAAGGCGAGCTTGCGGAGGTAATCCATGGCTAGCTCGTCATAACCGAGAAGAGCGAGGATTGAACAGGAGAGCAGTGCAGAATCGCAAGCAGAGACGGCCGGCTACTGCTGCAGTTGTGGATTTGGTGGTGATTGAGCCGATGACGGGAACGGAGACTGCATCAACGAAAACGGCAAAAGCGAGGTGTTTGGCGAGAGGATTAAGGTGGGGTATTAATTTATTTTTTTTTTTTTTTAAATTGACATGTCATTATTTAACAGTTCAGTCAGTTGTTCCATTTGCCACAGTTGTTCCATTTGCCACGTCATCAAAAAACTGACGGAGTTAACGGAATCTCACGGAGACTGACGGCCGGTGACTAATCGTGAAACGAATCGTAATGTTAGTGACGAATGTGAAAGAAAAGTAATTCGAGTGGCGAATGTAAAAGATTTATATAATTTGAGTGACCTAACGTGTAATTTAGCTCAAGTAATTACCACCACAATAAACCAGAAAAGCTAAACATCGGGTCAATATGAGCATAATCAAAATACAAATGATCATCCAAATTCACGAATACGAGGCAAGATCACTAGTGGCAAACACCCAATCAAAACACATATTGACAAGAAAGAAACTTATGTAATCGAAGACAAGGGATAACTTCTAAAACTTCTTTCTTGGGTCACAAGGATGACGATCCAGTAAACTGGTGTATAGAGCAAGCTAATTAAGGTGAACGGGGAGACCACAATCAACTAGGACACACTTATTAATCATAGAATGACAGAATTGTCGCATCCATTTGGTGCATCCCTGATCATACACAACTGATTGTTACACCAACGTAACAAAATTCTTAAGAACAGGATAGGGAAGCAAACAAAATAAAAAAGGGAGATCTAGATCTTTACAGTACTTCTTGAGTCGATCTAACATCATCCACTCACTCTAACGGAACATGTCCAACCCAGAAATAACACGGACGGAGAACTAAAATGAGCAACATAAATATCAGTTTCCCCACTCAAATCCGAATGTTTTCAGTGGATAAAGGAAGTCATGAATGGTGTGCTCTAGCTGATGATGGCATTGGTTAAGGATAAGTGATCATCTACTCGCTGCCTTGCATTTTAACCATCACATGCTGGCCCTGCAATTGCAAACACTTTCAGAATTCCAGTAATTGGACAGAATGCCGATAAACCCCTCAAGAAAACCAAAACAATAACAATAACATAGGTTAACACGGTATACACAACTCGCTGATCATTTTAAAAGGTAGCAGAAGATAAACATTCAAAACAGAAACCGAGAACCGTTAAACTAGGCCTGGCAATCACCCAAGAAGGATACCACAGCTCACAGGGAGAACTAACTTAAAGGACTTTTAACTTGCATGTACTGGTGTTCTAGGGTATTGCTCTTCACGACAATGAAGCCTTGACTTACGTTCCTCCAAGGCTTAATAGCAGTCCAGCCTGGGATGCGACAATCTTGCGTCCCAACTTTTCACAAGTCAGAGCATGTACCTACTAAGCCATTAATTTGTTTCAACATACAACATTTGGCAGCTCATCCAGGGGCTCGAGAAGAAAACTTTGAGTGAGGGGCAAGTATAATGGGACCAATCACAATCCAGAAACAGATGCAAAGGTGATGGAGGGTTGTTGCTTTAATGGTAATCTAAAGATCCTAACAGAACACACGGAGCTAGTGTAATTTTTACTTCTTAGCGATGAGGAGGGCTAAAGCTAAAGTGCAGTTGAGTAGTCATTGCTACTCAGTCAGATATATTTGGGCACCCTTGGGCGCAATAATGCTACCACTAGTAGACTACAGGAGGAAAGGTATTGTCCTCTGACCTCCAAGGAATGCACACAAGCAGAGAAACTGACTGCCACCTTTTTCATGTCACAATTGCGGTACTCCTTGTAATAATGGTACTGTGCAGATTATAGGATGAATCTTTTCCTCCACGAATAAAAAAAAAAATACCGATCCCCTAGTAATTGAACACTTAGTCTATCTCATGTCAAGTACCCTAACTGTGTTGGTGCTACAGCCAGCAGGTCTAAATCCGGGTACCCTAAAATGCAGGCAGACCTCCTAATGATAATGACCAATCACTATTGTTTGTCTGAGGGGGACAATCAGTATAAGTAGGATATCATTAGGCCTACTCCAGCAATGGATCTTCCAAACCGTTGCATCTAAAAAAATTCAGAGCCATTCTACATGGGTCTTTTCGAAGATGAAAGATTGCCGCTCTCACAATGCACATAATCGGTGATAAATAAGTATTGTATGATGGTTCACATATCGAATACGTACAACTCATCTTTTCGTTTATCGGTGATTAAGCTGAATATCACCCATCCCGTAGTTACTGAAATCCTGACAACACAGAAGGCTTAAGCTCATAAACAATATCTGCCATCAAGCATCTGGACAAGAAGTACAAAGCACACCAAGCCAAGCTCACTGACAAGGATGTGCAAACAGTAACAAGTCGGCACCTCATGGTGAGTTTGAGAGCTGAGAATGGTGCATACCTGAGGGTTTGAGTAACTAACACCTTGTGAGAAAGTGGCTTGATGAGAAATCTGCAATGGCCATTTCCCCAAATTCCCCGAATGAGATTATGGCAGTGATGGGTTACAATCCACAACCTCTCAGAAATGGAGACAAAGAAACAAGGGACATAATACAGAGCTCCACTTCACCTGCGCATTTGGACTGGGCTGGACATCTTTTCTAGCAGATGTATCTCCACCCTTGCCTGAGCCTTTGGTATCACCCTGTTTAAACCCAACAACTTTTCCATGAGTTCAAACTACATAAACCGTGCTCGAAAATAGAGTTTGAGATACAACGAGAGAAGAAAGGACAGCATATACGCAACAAGCATCTGATCGTACCTCCATCTGCCTCATCCACCCAAAAAAACAAAACCAAAACAATACGTATGCATTAGTAAAGTATTAATGAAAGCCTGTAGCTCAAAATCAGAAGAATGGTTAGCAACAATCTTTAGATGAACCGAGCTAAGGGGGAACCACAGCATGTAACAAAACGAGCAAAAACGAAAAAGCCAGGAATCTCACCTCTCTGTATCTGCTCAAGTAAACCTTAAGCGGCTCGATATAATCCTCAAACCCTAACGTCGCCATCGCCCACAGCAAATCATCGCCATTAATGGTCTTCCTCTTCTCTCTCTGGCACTTATCACTGGCCCTACGCATCAATTTATGAAACCAATCACACAAAAGGTAAATAATCCGCAGCAGAAAAATTCCCAATTGTCTGCGGAAATACGGACAAAAAGAAAATGTAATGCAGTCCTTACTCGCTGGTGACGAAACTGATGAACTCGGAGACGCATTCCTGAACAGTCTCCTTGGCATCCTTTGCGATCTTGCCGTTAGCTGGGAGCGCCTTCTTCATAATCCGGCCGATGTTGGCGATGGGTAGAAACCTGTCCTGCTCGCGAACGTTGGAGGAGCGCGGGCTTTGATCTCCGCTGTCGTGGCTGCCTCCGCCGCCGGGGCTCCCCGGCTGGAGTCCGTCGGCCGACGACATCTAAACCCTAGCTGAAAACAGGAATCACAGATAATCATCATCAGCACAGCCAAGTGCAAAGAGGGGAGAGTTAGAAAAGTGTGGGAAATTGAAATATTAGTGAGATCGCTTCGCTTCGCTTCGGTGGGTGAGTGAGAGTACCTTCACCTTACCTTGTTGTTGAGAGGCTGTTTGTATGGAATGGGCGCGAGAGAAGGAGATGGAAGGAAGGAGGAAAGAGAAGGGATCGGACGCTGGAGAAGAGAGGGGCAAGGAGACGACTGGGATGCGAGAACGATTCTTATCAACACCGTTCGTTTCTGCCTTCTGCTCTCGACTCTTATCGTTGGCTTAAATAACATAATAATAATAATATTATTATTGGACTAACATATACAACTAATATGAATGTGTCATTTATATTCCGTAAATTCAAGAAATACAGCTACATGATTAAAGTTTATCCTTTTGAGAGCTCTCAATTACTAGCAGTTGATCATGTATATGGAAGAAGCTATTGAAGACCAGAGATAAGGTGGGGCGCTTGTTTATCTGCTGGAATAAACAAGTGTTTTGAATGAAAAGCATATGTACAACTTCTCTGTGAAGACGGTTTTGAATGACTTGAGAACTCCAACACCTAAAGTTCTTTGGTATAATTTGATATGGGGACAGTACAGTTGCTCGAGCCCGGTTCCTTCGGAGGATGGGTTTCTAAAAATCCACCTATCCCAATAACAAACAACCTGACATGAATGATCATGTATTAAGAGCGAAATTATCTAAAGAAATGGGTAACCCGCATGGCCCAACGACATTTTATATATCTTTCCAATAGTAATTCTAGGTACTATTGCATGTAATATAGGATTAACAGTGCGTCTCGACGTGGTATCATCCATTGACTGGGCATTAAAAATAGACTAATGACTCGAGATAAGTTGACGGTGTGAGGCAAAATTACTACTAACAGTTGTGTGGCACTGGTTAGGGAATAAGAGACTATGGGGTAGTTTGGAGGTTGGGATTCTCCAAATTGATGTTAATCAATTTGTGTATTGTAATTTGATGTATTGATTAAAGGGTAAATACAATTTAATATCCAAACCTTTCATTTTAAACAATATAATAGCCGAACCTTTTCGAAAACAATTTAATATCCAAATCGTCAACTTTCTGTATGTTTGACCGTTAGTTGACACTTCAAAAAAGTTCGAAGTACGACACTTCATCAATATCCATCGATATATTCTCTGAAAAACCACCAACATATCGTAGTTCCAAACCCGAGAAGTCCATGACTCCACCATGATGGTGTAGAATATCTAAATAGTCAGTCATCTACAATGCCAAAACAAGAAAAGAAAGTTGTATTGTGACAATTTCCCCTAAACAAAGCTTTCTTGAAGTGTCAACTAATGGTCAAACGAACGGAAAGTTGACAATTTGGATATTAGAATGTTTTCGAAAATGTTTGACTATTATATTGTTTAAAATAAAAGGTTTGGATATTAAATTGTATTTACCCTGATTAAATGTATGAATGTGAAAGGTAAGCCGCTTTGGCAAAAGTTGGGAGAATATTATATATGGAACCTCATGATCACCATGCTATGGAGAGAAAGACGGAGTAGATGTTTTAGGAAGCAAGGCCTCGACCCTCCTACTCTCGTGCAGAAAGTAAGAAGAACTTTTGAGTTTATGAGCTTGAGAAATCATAATCTGCAGGCTGTCTTGTTGTAATTAGTAGTTAGTGATTGCAAGTGTAAAACAGAGGACTGTCTCTGTTTAGTATAGATAATGGTAGATACTTTGGATTGGGTTCTCAAATTGAGAATAACATATGAGCTTCAATAAATATTTGATTAACCATATAAAAAACTTCAATAAATATATTCATATTTCAATCTATTAAATATATTAATATTTCAATCTATTATGAGTCTGTGTCATTTGTGTTATGTGATTTTTGTTGACAGTTAAACTGTAAACTTAACAATTTAATTTAATAGAAGTCAAAAGATGTTTGAGTCTTAATGACATGACATATGCTATCATCCACCTAAGCGACACATCAGATGGGTGTGTGATGTGTATTATTTTTTTATTTTAACTTTCACAATTAAATACTATTTTTTCAAAAATTAAAAATGCCAGGAAAATTAGAAACAAGAAAAAATAAGAAATACCCCACTCCTCACAGCTTTCGCGTCCATCATTACACACCTCGGTCGTCATAATCATATGTCGTCTCTCTGAACTACAACCGGCAACCTAATGGTCGCCGTCCTTTAATTCCTCCTCTCACCATAAGCCCCAACGTTGAGGATCAAACCAGGTGATTGTCCGATCTCCCGTGGACAACCTCAGATTCTGGTCGTTGAAAGCGAAGTCGATTGCACCTTGAATTTGCTCCAGGGTATCAAATGCTCCACGCTTTTTTTTTTTTTTTTGCTGGTGCGGTTCTTTCCTAGCTCGATTTCCCCGACTCATTATATTGGGAAGAGTATTTAGAATTGGCCAAATACACTTGTATAGCCAAAACTTTGACAGTTGTGACAATAATAGCCTTTTTTGGAGAAATACAAATAATAGCCAGAAATTTGAAAGTTTGATGACAATAATAGCCATTTCAGTTACATAGTTTGACGGCGTCAATGACACCGTTAGTCAAATTAACGGAACGATGATCTGGCTGCCAACTCACCTGACACATCATTGGCAACTCACCAATACTTGCCACATACACCTGACACGTCATATTTTAAAATATTTAATTAATTTAATAATAAAAATTTCTTTATAAAAAAAAATCCAAATAATTGCCCTGCTTCCCCTCACCGTCCTCCATCCTTGTTTCCCCCACTGTCGACCAAAACTCTTTCACTTTTGGTTCGATTCCTTCATTCAAACCCACCATGAATCTGCAAAAAAAAATCATCAATTCACAAAACCAAATTCAATCCCCCCAATCCATCGACATCCATTCATCTCTCACCATTTCCCCTGCGCCGATGCCGTTGCCATGAACTATTCATCCTCCGCCGTCAGGAATTCGAGTGAGATCCTCCATCCTTTTCGCCCAGATCGTCGAGCTCAACAACCGCCTCAATTCCCGCATCGAGATCCTCAATTTTATCGGAAGCAACACTGCTATCGGAGGAAACGGGTTCATCGGCCTTGTTCCGGTACTGACCAAGTGTGGGATTGTGGGCGAAGGTTGAGGAAGATGAAGGGCAAAAGAGGCAGAGGGGGATTGGGGCCGGAGGGATGATGGAGATGAATGGCAGAGGAGGTGGGGGTGGGGGTACAAGGCGGAGGAGGTAGAAGGTTAGGGAAGATGAAGGGCAAAAGAGGCAGAGGGGGATTGTGGTAGGGATTGGGGGCGGAGGGATGATGGAGATGAATGGCAGAGGAGGTGGGGGTACAAGGCAGAGGAGGTAAGGGGGATCAGGGTGGTGGGTTTTTTTTCACCTTCTTCGATTGAAACCCAGACTTCATCTTCTCGATTGAACCCCAGATTTGAAGCTCTCAAGATCCATCTTCCGAAACCCAGATTTGCAGCAACGAGAGGAAGTTGATGCCCTTCGATTGATTGACCCGGGGGAGCACCGGCGGTGGAACGGGAACTCTGGGAGGTGGAAGACAGAAGCAAAAGCTTTTCCTTCTCCCTCGGCTCGAGTATCATCCTCTATCTTAATGGCGAGTTCGGAGATTCTGCAAATGGCGATCTCCAGCGGTGATGGAAGAACCGAGAGATGGGGAAGAAGAGAGATGGAGAGAGAAAAATAAAAAATATTTATTTTTAGTTTCCACCTCACATTTTTAATTGACTAACGGTTGCTAACTCATCAATATCGTTAGTCCAGTCAGCCTGTTACTTGACACCGTCAAACAATTGGACGAAAGTGGCTATTTTTGGTATTTCGCTAAAAGTGGCTATATTTGACAAAACTGTCAAAGTTTTTGCTATACAAGTGTATTTGGCCTTTAGATTTTTTGGTTTCCAGATTTATAGGGAAGAAAGACCTTATTTCTGGTTTCTTGATTTTGTATTTTTGGTTTTGCTAGTAGAAAGAGAGGATTGGGGGAAGACGTGGGGTTTGTGTTGGGCTACGTGCTCAAGCGCTTTAACAATCTCAGACCAGTGATAAGCACTAGGCCCACTAGCACGAGGCCCATGGTACATGGCCGAAGCCCACTATGGATACTCCTCTAGTGGGAAACGGTATCCATATCTGGCGGAGAGATTGGACATAGAAAACGGTTGTGTGGGAACCCAGTGCGTTACAACACTTTGGGGTCTCGCAAAACAGGCCCTAAGCGTAAGCATTGGGCGGTGATGCGCGACATGCGTTGGCCGGGGGCTCAAGCGGTCCTTTAGATAGATAATAAATGCGATTGTAGACCATGTACACTAAAAAATATTCCCTGACACATATATTCAATACGACTCGTAGGCGTAGTACAGAAAAGTGACATTCCTGACTCCCTTGGAGCAGGCATTAAATAATCAATGTACGCCAAGATGAGTATTAATATCCCCCGCTCCATTTTATTTATGGTAACTAAACTACTATTTAGAAGTGGACGTGGTGGATACCCAAGGAAACCAACCCCGACCGGAAGTGGTAGAGGGGGACATCAGCGTCCCGCTCATCATTGAAGAGCCAAACATGAGGGTGTGCATCTTGACGCACTTACCTGTCAAAGAAAAGGAGGAACTCCTCCAATTGATGAGAGATTAAGCCATTCTTTTTGCCTGGGGGACAGAGGACATTCCGGTCGTGTCGTCAAAATCGTGAAACATCAATTGTCGATCAAACCCAATGCAAAATCAGTGCAACAAAAGCACCGAAACATATATGTGATAAAACCGTTGGCCACCAAAGAAGAAACACAAAAGGTGCGGAAGGCATGTTTTATAAAGAGAAGTATGATATCTCACCTGGCTAGCCATCTGGTGTTTGTAAAGAAAAGCTCGGTAGCATGGCGGATGTGCGTGGCTTTACCAGCTTGCATAGTGTCTTCCCAAAGGAAGATCAAAAGAAGACGGCTTTCATGACCCCATGGGTAATTTCTGTTGGGATTTTTTTGATTGTTACTTGTGATTCACCCTTTAACCCACTATTAGTGATTGTGAGTTTTTTTACAATTGAACTCAGATCTAATTGTGCTTTACTAGAGGACAAGCAGAGACTTATGGGGGAATTTGATACACTTAGAAAATAAACATATTTATTCCCACATTTAGTATCAAATTAGCTTGTTATGTGAAAGAAGTTCGGTTGTTTTTCCAGTTTTACGCTTGGTTTTGTGTGTTTTGATGTTCCGGGATATCCAGAGATATGTGGAAGAGAATGAATTAACTCGTCTTAATGATGATTGAGAATGAAATTGCGACTGGACCTTGTAAAGAGAGGAATTACGGACGTATGCATCCGGTTGATGGAAGAAAGTCCTTGTGCATATTTGTCCTGATGAATCCAACTAGGTATGCATGGACCGAAGCAAGCAAGCGAGCTGGTGAAGCATGTTCCTGGTCATGGTCATGGTCGGGATGGGTTGCATTGCTAACCCCTCAAGGGATTAGCACCATTCTAACCTGTATAATAGCCATTAGATTAAGTTGTTGATCCTAAGGTCACAATTAAATGAAGGATATTTTAGTAATGTTATATCAAACCCTAATATAAAAAAGCTCCTTTCACCACCCCTCTCACTCACGACCGCCTTTCAGTTTTCCCTCTTTCTACACCAACCGTCTCTACTCTCTCCCTTTTTATCCATCTCGGCGTACGGTTCGGCGACGGGGAGGAAGTGGCACTCAAATAGATATGCGATGGAGGCAGGCGGCGACGGGGAAGAAAGGTGGCATAAGATGTCGATAGAGGAGGTAGGCGGCGACGATAGCGATGGAGGAGTCTCCCCATGATTTGTCGACTCTCTCTTTCAATTGCTGGTATTGAGGTCATCGCCAAGACTGTTGTGAAAGGCAGAAAGGTATATATACCAGAGGGAATGACATATCGGTATAACCCTTGAGCAGATCCGACACCAGATCTAGGCTCTGTGCCTCGCCTCTATGTTCCATATCCAGATTTACAATAATCTACTCAACCGCTCACAACTCAACCCTTGTCATCGCCTCCCTCCCTCCGCCTCAAGTGCTCCTCCCACCTTCAATGTAGTTTACGGTAGTGATTATGTATGGTGATTGTAGGTTTACGTAGTGATTTGAGAAGATATATGCCCCTAGACGAGAAAGAGAGAAAGGAATAGGAAGGCAAGTATAGATTTGAATAGTAGTGATTTTTGTTTAGTATTAAGATTTTGCTCATGAATAGTAGTGATTATTCATCTTTTAGTTTTTTTACCTGTGTTAGTAGTGATTGACCATTTGTGTAGTCATTTTTTTCTCTTCATAGTATGTTTTATAATGTGTGGTAGTGATTTTTATTAAAAATTGTTAGTCGTTACAAATTAAAAATAATTTAAAACACTAATAGTTACATGAAAATCACTATGACTCTCCAAAAGCACTTCTATCAACCTCCAAAAAGTGAAAAAACTCGTCCCTATTAATTAAAAAATTCTACAATCACTACTCTTAGCCAAAATGATTATTGATTTAAATACTAATGAAATTGTTAGTAATTTTTTCGTTAGAAAATGATTAATAAATAGGGGAGAGATAAATGAGATTTTTTATTTTATTTATGTATTATTTTTTAATTTAGTGAAATACCAAAAAGCCCTTCATTATTAACCACAGTTAGATTTAACTTAAAATAATGAACAGTGATTAGAGTAGTTAGTACGTAGTAATTAGCACTCTAACCTCTCCCGGTCATGGTCATGTGGAAACTACAGCTTGGTTGAATTAAATGGACCAGCTTGGTCTCGGCAAATGCAACCTCGGAGCTGAAGCTAGATGGTCAATTTTACACGCATGAACACAACCAGCCGGGTGGGTGAATATAGAATTAGGATTGTCCGGCTCAATTGGGTTTGTTCATTAATTTTTTCAATAATATTTTAAGTGACGTGGCGTGATTACTGGACGAAATTACTGTTTTTTGGATGGAGATGGACGAAATGACCATTCTGTTATTCTCTCAAACGGATGTTACTGAAACGTGCAAAATTAAAGGTTTGTGACCGTTAGTACAAAATGAATAGTTTTATAACCTTTTATGGTAATTAGCCCATGTGCAAAATAGAACATGAGGTGGTGATTTTAAGGAGTTATCATCCCTCATGAAATGAAAAGTGGAAAATAATTCCCATAAAAAAAAGTGGAAAATAAATGAATTGTCACATACTCACATTGCTTCTCTTGATCTCTTCCACGGGTTGAGTGAAAATGGGAGAGGAAATGAGTGTCCTGTTTAGGGGTGGCGAGAGATGGAAAAGAAAGAGAGGAAAGGTTCTAAAAGGTTCTAGCAAACAGTGAAACACAATGTGGAACTAGCAACGCTTTCAGAACCACTAGGTCTTCCGATTGCCGGAGTAGGTTAATAAAAATGCACCAATGGTTGACTCACAAATGAACAAGGAGCCTGCAGTCACCTAATAACCCGCATACACGCAATCGGACATATGGAGAGAACGAAGAGCTGTTAAAGAGAGTCAGTCGCTTGTGGAATTCGAACCAATGTTGTCAGAACCGAACCGGAGTATGACCCGATAATGCGAACGGCTCGCACTTTAGTGGTCTAACCGGTATTAAACCGTTTAAAACCGTTAGAGAACCGGTACCTAATAAACGTTATCAGTATAAATAGTGGACATTTCTTAATCAGAGATCATCTCTTTCCATCGAAATTGTTAAATGGAAATAAGGATTCAATTTGAGAGCCCGACGTTTTTGTTTTTTTTCAATTTTCAATTTCTACAATTTTTTTAATTAAATTTAGTGGTTGAATGGCAAAAACCGAACAAGCGGCTCGAACGCCTAACCACCTCGGCCGCTCGCCAACCGCTACATAAAACCGGAGCGGCTTTTAGACTGTTCCGAGCCGATTTTGTGACCGGATGACGGTTTTACCGGTCAGGCCGAGCGGCTCGGCTTTAATAACACTGATTCGAACACACATCTCCAAATGTATGTTTCGCTCGTGCATACATACAGTGCAAGTAGCTGCTACGGTATAATGTATATAGAGCAAGAGAAGCGTCTCAAGTAATATAATGGTTTTCAACCGGATTTCATGGCTCAGAAACTCATAAACTACTTCAACCTGCAATATTGTAGAGTTCATGTTATTTGTTACAAGGCAACAGTTCTACACCTTCAAGTCTGTATTCAAGAAATTCAACAAAACCACAAAACGACGGAACACTAGAATGGCATTTCCACCGGAGTAACAAACAGCCATCAAAACCTGTCCAACAAAAAGTGCTTCCAATTCAAATTTTCTTCAAAGGTCTTGCACGCTCAAACCTGCAACAAACACAACAAAACAAATACCATCAGCCACTGACGAACTTATGAACTTTAAGTGAGATTGATTGAGTGAGCAAAACCCAGCAAGAGTCCATCTGAATCAAAATAGTTAAAGAATCATCCACACGGTACACTAAATAGCTATAGTAAAAGGTGAAAAGAACCATTACCTGGGGGAAGAGACTGCTTCAACTTGTCAGCCTTCTCGGAGTCAAAAACACACAAGGTGTAGAGGTACTTGGAGCAGCGGACCTTGAACTTCACCACGTCTTTGCTCCTCTTGATCTTCACCGAACGGGCATCCTTCCTCCTAGCTGTGAGGAGAAAATCCTTGATCTCGTGAATCTGCTTCGGCTGTTCAACACAAGCAGAAGAGTAAATACCAAACCAAGCACCCAGATGGCGACAAAGAAAATTATAAACAATGACACAAGCTCAACAAATTCAATAGGTGAGAACTTAGATCAACAATTATAGAAATGATTTAGCACCCAGATGTAACAGAGGCTATCAGCTCCAGGCAGGTTATGCCATTGGTTAGATCTGTAACGATGAGTGCCAACTTTCATCTCCCAGACTCGTAACAGTATCAACCAAAATACATTAAGGTCGCTACCTGACTAGAGTCTGGGGATTTCAAGCGAACCCTAAACACTAGAAATCAAAACCTAATCTTTCAACTTCTGTTAGTTTGGGAGACCCAAACGAGTGAAATAGATCAACACCAGGGTGATAAATTTCCTCAAAAACAATCAAGTTCTCAGAAACATCAATAGAAGAATTAAAAAAAAATGGCTACCTCGCATTAAGCCTAAACCGAGAGTAGCATCAAATGCTAAAACCAACCCTTGCTCCGTTAAAATATCAAACCAAATACCCTAAACCAACGAGGCACAATGTAACCCTGCAGCTAGGATTAGAATAACAATTGGCGAAAGTATTTACTATTTAGCACCTAGATGTAGCAGAGGCTATCAGTTCCAGGCAGGTTATGCAATGGGATAGTTCTGTAACGATGGGCGCCAACCTCCATTTTCCAGTCTCGTAACAGTATCAACCGGAATCATCAAGATCGACACCTGACTATAATCTGGGGTTCCATTCTGATCCTAAACCTAATCCTTCTAGCATTCGTATTCTGAGATCCCAATAGCTATTACAGCAGTAGTTCTCTGATGTCGTCTAGCGACTACAGGTACATAACAAAACACAGAACGGGAAAAAAAAACTACTCCAACAAGGCATATCCGCTCAATAACCGCCAGAAAATCATGAAACAGACAGAAGACTGCTACTTTGAGAGTAGTTGATAAGCCTTTACCATTATTTTCGCCGAGGAGCTTCCTTGCTGCTGCTTCTGCTCCGGTTGAGGAAGGAAACGATAGGAACATAAAAGTTGCTAAGGGTTAAGATTATATACTACCGACATTGGAGTAAACCCTAAAGGCCCAAATGATGGACCTTAAATCTTTATTTTGGGCCTTATTCGTTCTGGGCCTATTTGCGGCAAATCGTCCGCGTTATGGGCCGTCGGTGGAAGTTAAGCTCGGGTTCAATTATCGACTGAAGCTGCTCCGATCCCAATATCCCATCAAACCAAGATCAACACAATAGCTTAGTTTGGCCCTGCTGTAGCTTTTGCAGAAGCAGTTTCTGGCGGTAGCTTTTAGATAAGTACTATAAAAAAAAAGCAGTTGGGTGTTTGGCTATAAAACTATTAGAAGTGCTTTTTAATATTAGAGGTTGTGTAAAATGACTATAAAGGACTTATAATATAAAATATGAATAAAAATCCTAAACAATAAAAAGTAGTCAAAATGAATTTTGTTAGATTTATTTAATATTAAATAATATGATTTATAATTTATTTTATTTTTATAATAATATAAATGAAGGAAAATTATATTTTCTGAAATAAAATTAAAATATGGTAAGAATAATCTTGTATTTTCAAAACAGCTTTTCGCAGAAGCTCCAAATCGAAGTTTCTGCTTTTATGTTATACAAAAATGCTTTTCAGCTTTTCAAAAGCTGAGCTTTTACAAGTGTTTGGCCCTGCTTCAGCTTTTGAACCCAAAAAGCACTTCTAAAAGCCGAGCCAAACATAGAGAATATATAACTAGCATTCGTCTACCGGCCCGTTGGCCGGTATAGTATAGAACCTCAACATTTATTGTGTTGTAGTATATGCATATTGGAGTGCAACGAAAACGATATTAAGCAATAAAGTGGAAGTCCAAATTGTATGGATGCCTTTGCCTTCTCATTAGTGAGTGATTTCATTGTTAATAACTCTTTCAGAAGTAGAATCTTTCATGCTAAAACTATTCATTTTCCAAACAGGGAGTAGATTTTGTTGGGGACGTCCCCAGTAAGCAACTCACAAAACCTGTTTTAGGTAAACTCCATTCCATGGTACTGTATATTTCTTGTATTCCACAATGCACATCCTAGACAAAACACCCTACTGATAATACATTTCCACAATGCACATCTTAACATAACGACCCATTCTACTGTTAAAGCTATAAAAAAAAAAAAAAAAACAGTTCATATTTGACTATTTGTAAGTATCAATCTTTAAGGCCCATTCTACTTGAAGGCAACAAACTAATTATGATAGCTAAGTTATACTGATAAAGCTCGGTAATACCATGGTACTGCATCTTTCTTCTGTACTACTTCTGTTCCTCATGGTCAGAGTCTACCCCATGCTTCCTTTTCTCCCCGATTATGGTAGTCCCTCCAATAGCATCAGTACTTGGTTTAGTGATGCTGCTTTCCTCCAGGATAGGTGCTGCAATTGTGAAGGACTGACCTGATGTCTCACTCAATTACTGCAATCAGAATAGAAGTATAAGAGAAAGTGAAATAAAGCTGGTAGCATCTTCAAATATATGGAATTGAGTGGATCATGCTCCACGCTAAGCACAGAGTACTCAGCTTGAGGGTTAAGAAAGTTAAACTGAGTAAGTTTAACGTGTAACTTAAGTCTCATGTTCAATACTTGTTGGATTTGTGGATGAATAGGGACCTCAAAAATAAAAACAGGTGCATTGAGGCTCTCTTCCCTACAATGCCACGATGAACACATCACAAATTTGCATTCCATTGTAAAATCAACAGACCATAGACTAACAAACCAAGTGAAAATCCAATATCAAACTGATGCACTTCTGGAATATCCAGATTTACCTTCAACAATATCGCTCCTGTTGATGACAGGTATATGAACCCTTATAATAAAAATTGAACAATCAGCTTTCAAATTTTTATAAGCAAGCTGGGTGTCTAAGAAAATCAGGACTCTGGAGAACCTTTGAATTTATCAACAAACACAAAAGTAATAGTCAGAATGATAGCTTTCCTTTTGTTGCGAGATATTATCTCATCTAATTGATTGCGAATAGTTCCCCATAAAGTTACCTTTACCAAATTTAGTTGGCGAAGGTTCAAAACAGAATAAATGAAAAAGAAAATACATGGGAAGAATCTAAGAACTAAACCACTATCAAACTTAACCCTAAGCAACAAATTAATCACATAGCTAAGCTTCTAAAGTTATATTGATATAGCTCTATAAAAACATTAGACTTTAGAGATGAACTATCACAATTCACATCGAACATTAGCAGAGTTGGAAAATGATGGAGGGTTTCGGCTAGAAGAAGCCTCACCCCCAGGACACTTAGGCGGCATTAGAGCTGCCGTTATTTTACCACAAAAGGCTTCAATCAGAATAAGGGGCTTCAATTTGTACTCTGCAAAACCATAAAAATCAAAGATACAAATCACATGATTGATTAAAAGTTAAAACACCAACGCACTCCTAAATACGCATAGGAAAACGTTACCTGGAAATAAACTCATCGAGAGCGTCAATTACATAGGCTATTTTGACCCCAAGCTTAGGGGAGGGGGGCATTGATCAAGATTCAAGAATGCATATAGCCAATAGGGAATGGAAAGAGCACCAGCTTTAGGAGCAGGATTGAGAGTTAGACGTGGACCAGTCTAGTTATTCTGCTAACTAGAAGATTCGTTAGTATATACTAACTAATATCCAAAATGTATGAACTAATATCCAAGTCTGCTGAGTATCTAGATAGTACAGACTAGTATTCAAAACATCACAAACTAGTATCCAAATAGCAGATACCAACTAATATCCACAAACAACCAACTAGTATTCAATATGGATACTCTTATATGTTATCTGGATACTCTTATGTGTTATCTGTATACTAATTATGTGCTATATGGATACTATTATGTGTTGTCTAGATATTAGTTTGTAAATTTGGAATAATAGTTGATTCATGGTGGATATCAGTTAGCAAACTTTGAATACTAGTCTGTGCTCTCTAGATACTTTAGTACTTGGATACTAGTTAATATATTTTGGATATCAGTTAGTATCTGCTAACGAATCTTCAAGTTAGCAGATTAACTTTTCCCAGCGTGGATGGGAGAAGCTGCGGCGGGCAAGGGGCGGCTTCAATTCCCCGGAAAGTTGGGGAAAAGATGGCTGACAACAGGGAAGGCTTGTTTGCTCTATTGGGTGAAACGATGGTTTTGACGACAACGGTAGGGGGTTTCTGGAATGGAAAGACCACCAGCTTTGGGAGCAGGATTGAAAGTTAGGCGTGAACGGCAAGAGCTGCGGTGAGCAAGGGGCGTCGTCGATTCCCAGGAGGCTTGGGACAAAAACGGTCGAGAACACTGGAGGTTTTTTGCTCGCGCTATTAGGTCGAGATTGTGGTTCCGACGACCACGCTATGGGGATTCTCGAATCAGATAGCGTTGGTTTGCCAGCGCGGTGATTGAAATGGCAGTCCTGATGACAACGCTTGGACGGGGACCTCCTTGGCGAAATTGGAAGAGAAAGACCAAGGAGTGGGAATGACGGAAAAATCCTTCCGATATATGCGGCCTGTTGAGCAGCGACTGACGTGCCAATTTTTTTCCCCTGACATTCCCTTATAGTTATTTGTAGATGGGACTAGCTTTTGCTAAATTATATGTTAATCACTTGGTTTATCAATTTTGTCCATGTTTGCCACCAAAAAGGTTTCCTACTCACTTTAAATTTTGCTTCATCATTTGTCACCGACAGTTCATTTATCTTAAATTTGACCTAAATGCTAATCTATTATAAGCTTTGGCTCTTAGACAAATAATGTGGAAATTAAAATAAAATAATTTTTTTTTAAATTTTGCTTATAATAACCAGAACCATTAGAACTAATAAAAATTTAATTTAATTTACATCATCCCTACAAAAAATAATCTATAGTTCAAAAAATTGACCATATTGTTGATTTATGAATTACTATACTAACTAGATTTTGACATGTTATCAGAGCCTCGATGACAATAATCAAAGTGATCAGCTAGTAGCCACAACGCTCAACATTCTTCAAAAGTCTTCCGTGTTCAGCCAGCCATAAAAATCGACGTATGCACTGAGCAATTCTACTATGCTATATAGTATTGGTGCTTTAATGTACAACTTGAAGTTGTACCATAACATTAAATGTACAAGTTTAGGTTGTACCATAAAAGAATTTGTATCATTATGTTATGGTACAACTTTACAACTTGAAGTTGTACCATCACATAAGGTACAAATTTAAGTTGTACCATAAAAGAATTTGTACAAAAAGTATAGGTACAATCTGAAGTTGTACCATAACATTAAAGGTATAATTTAAAGTTGTACCATAAAGGTAAAAACCTATAACACCAATACTATATAGCATTATAAAATTCTCCGTATGCACTATGTTCCATGCCATCATCAAATTTTCTTTCATAGCATAGCAGCCTCCTCCAACCCCGCTGCGAGGATGTAGGTTGTCCGAATCGAGAACCAACCAGGAGGTTTTAGTCCCAAAGATATCCCTATAACTTGCATGCCTAATTCATTAAGTAAATATCAAGCACTGACCGCCATATATCTCATCCACCTGTACCCAATACAAATGTCACAACTCGCTTGTCAATGAGGTAATCGGATACTGGTGACATCACCCAGTCGGCTAGGAATTCGAAGTACTCCACTAAAATTCCGTAACGGTGCGTTTGGATGTGTATTTCAAATGTAATGCATTTGTAATACATGTATTTAAAATGTGTGCATTTGTAATACATGTATTTAAAATGTGTGCATTTGAAATACTTGCATTTGAAATACATGTAATTCAAATTTGTTGTTTAGTTACTCATTCGTAATTTGTTGGTAGTTTAGATTTTGTATTATAATTTTGAATTTTCTGGTCACTTACTATAAAATTTGAAAAATTACATTTTGGTACCCAAAATTATTTTTTCTTATAATTTAATATCTAAACTTTTAATATTTTACAAAAAGGTCCTGAAATTTAGTGGTAAAATTACATTTGGATACTTTTATATATTTTTCACACACTATAGTACCTAAACATTTAAAATGTTACAAACAAGTTCAATATTTTGTTAGGAGGAATTTCAAATCACTAGTTGTTGGAATGTATTTGAAATTGACAAGTAATACAATAGACATGTATTTGGAAATCACCCCATAAATTTGACACAAATCCAAATATCAAAAGTATAATTAATATCCAAACAAATGATTTGACATTTGGAAATGGAAATCACAAATAACAAATACAAATCCTTATATGGGAACGGCTACGGTGCTAATTGTACAATAATTAGCACCGTCCTAACTAAGGGAAAAACTACTACTAGTTTGAATTAGTAGTGATTTATCTTAGATGTTGTATTGATTTTATAATAATCCGTAGTGATTTCGTTATTTTTAGTAGCGTTTTTTACTAGTTATCACGGTGCTAACTCCTATAAGGGTTAGCACCTAATCCCATCCCATCCTTATATCCAAACACACCCTAATATTTTCTACGCCCAGGGTTTTCCATCAAGAGTTATAAATACCCTATATTGCGCCTGACTCACAAATTTGCTTTTGTTGCGAAGATACTTCCCGATAAGCACCTCCACCTTGAAATTCACCAGGTTCTTGAATATCCCTCAAGCTAATTTCATCATGTAAGCCATACTTAGAACCCTGATATGCTTCGACTTGAACATTTTCCTCCCAGACCATGTAACGAAGTGGTTAAGTATCATACATGACCTCTCTCAAGCAGAGAGGTCCATGTATAGTACTTAACCACTTCCTTACACGCTCTCTCAAACGAAAGCCGATTTATGGGCTTGAAGTTTACACAGACCTGCCATACCATTTGCTTGAAAACAACGGTTAATATTTGTGGGTGTGGGGGGGGGGGGGGGAGGGGGTGGTGTCCAGGACTAGGAATGACAATTTTTCTCATACCCATGGGTATTTTACTATCTAATTCTATTGGGTTGGGTATGAAATCCAATTAAATTTGTGTGTACCCATACCCACTTAGTTAGGTTGGGTTGGGTTTTTAACACATGGATTTGTACCCATGCCCAAATGCAAATTACAGTTTGGTACCTAAACTTAATAGATATGCAGACTAGTCCCTAAATTTAATTTTTTTTGTACATAAGTCTTCGAAATATCGATGGAAAATTACACTTTAGTACATAATTTTTTACATTTTGGTACCTAAAATTTTCAAGTTTTAAAAATAGGTCCAGTTTTGTATGTGTAGTTAAAACACCCCCAGATAAATGGATATTCATACCCAACCCATACTCATTTAGATTATGGAAGCAATATTCATACCTTACCAACACCCATCTACAAACCCCCAAACCCACATATACCTCATCCATATCCTACCCATTAGGGGTGGGCATCGGTTCGGTTCGGACTACATCGCACAGTATTGATATAAATCGAACTGCACTGCATCTTAATCGGACCGCACCGCATGTTCGACCACTAAGTTATTGGTACGGTCAAACCAAACCGCGCAGATTTGCGGTTTGGTAAGATTTAGACCGCACCGCATTTTGACCGCAATTCATTATTGTTTGTACAAAGTATCCAAACAAGAGCATGCCAAAATCGAGAACTGAGTCAAGAATTGCTACGGCTAGAGCTGGTGGCACTCTTCGTGTAGCCATCAAAAAGAGCATGCTAAAAATTGAGAACTGCTATTGCTAGAGTTGCACTCTGTTTCCCTGCCACCAAAATAGAGCATGCCAATTTCTCGTTAATTAGCATCATCTAAGGGTGTTCTACGTCGAGAAACTTGTGAGTTAATAAAGGAGAGGTGTGGCATCGGGCTTGCTGTGGTAAACTGGTAATTAGGTGGGCTGAATTTGTCCTAGTCGATATATTCCTACTTCCTAGGAGGGAAACTTTTCTATGTATTTGTTTAGTTGCGCAGAAGAATAGGTGAATGAACTAAAAGAGCTCTCTTGCCTCTATTGTAGACATGAAATTTGTGGGTTTGCATTTCCTTGCCAATGGGGGGTTTACGTTAGCGACCAAATGGTTGAGGTCTGATTAAGTAAAAAGAATCAGCTTTCTTCAAGACTTCTTCGCATTAGTATATGGTTTTTGAATTTTGATTGTCTTATTTTTTTCCCCATTCGACTGACGCCGCCGGTGAGAAGGTTTGTTGTGGGGAGAAAGTAGGGGTCGCCGCTGTTGGAAATTTGGTTGAACCAGACTAATCAAGTCAAACCAGTTTTGGGTTGGACCGACCAACCGGTTTGGGATTAGACCGACCGAATCGATATTCTAATTTCGTGAAGGGACACATCCCTTTGGTCAAGTGGCGGTTGCATTATTTTATGGATAAGGATAACCTTAAGGATAAAAGGCAACCCTTCATATGGATAAGGACAACCTTTCATATGGATAAAGGCAACCTTTCGTATGGATAAAGGCAACGATTCGGCCCCTATAAATATGTGTGTGGGGTGCATGATGCCACACACAATCAAACATATTCTTCTTTTTTCTTCCAAAAATTTCTAAGTATGCTTTAGTGTTCTTGAGCCTGGAAACTAAAGTGGTGATAGTTTTATCCTCGGGAGAAATTTCCTGTAACCCAAGGCTTTGTAGAGGGTGGAAATATTCTTTTCGGAAAGTGAACGTTGTTCACGACTCTGTCACAATCCTGGTCACCCGGTCTCGGGCTATCGTACGTATACCCTCGTCCCTAAAAGTCCCAACAATCGAAAAGAATAGTTTTCCGGTACGATGGCTCGAACCGCTCTTTACAAGAAACCGGTTCCGGTCTATGGAATTATGAGAATGTACGATGATGGGTTTTTCATCGATGGCAGTAGAAGATGGGTTTTCTTCATACTAGTCTCATGGTGTATTCCATATTCTGAAGGTAACTTGGAAGAGGGATGATTCGAAGATGAGGAAGAAGGAGAATGATTCATAAAATGGAGAAATAGAAGAATGAAAATTGCTTTTGGGTAGGTCACATACTTAATGGTAAATTTGTCTAATTCTCTATTCGACGTTTGCCTAGTGCTAGACAAATATGGATTTGTCTAGTGGTTTGATGGTGTGGTTTTGTCTAAGTGGTTTACGTTAAACCAAGGAGACGAAATTGTATATACAATGTTTGATGATTCTGGTAATAGAGTCGTTGTGTTTGTATGTAGATAACATATTTATCTTTGGGACCAATCAAAGATACGTGATTTTCTCTAGTGGTTTATGTTATTTTAAACCAAGGAGACAAAATGTGTACACAAATTATGATGATTCTGGTTGTTATAAACGCGCTGCTACGGATCGGGAAATAGCCGGAATCGACAAAGCAAGAATACGAAAGCGAGAATCGAAAACACAGACACACGATTTACGTGGTTCACTAACACGATGTGTGTTAGCTACGTCCACGGGCGAGAGAGAGCCAATTTCACTATATCGAGGAGATTACAGATTACAGAGGAGTATGAGAAGTATTTATAGTACTTCTCCATGTGGGTCTAAATCTAATCTAATATGGCAAAGGAAATGGTTACAGACCAGGCCCAGAACCCGAACCCAAATAACATTGAGCCCATACACCGTGGGCCGGGGGCCTTGCCCCTGGACCCCACTCGCTGACCGGGCAGCGAGACCCCCGATTACCAGTCGTAGCGGCTGATAGTCCGATTCAAGTCATATCAACACTGGTAATGAAGTCATCGTACATTTGTATGTATAAGACATGCTTATCTTTGGAGCCAATAAAAGATAAGTGAACTTTGATAAAAATTTGTTATTTCAATTCTCCATGTAGGACATGGGGGAGGCAAATGTGATTCTGTGTATTGAATCAAGCGAAACGACAAGAAAGAGTTCTTCTCTCAATTTTTCTGCATGAGAAGGTACTTGCATAAATTCCATGTCAAATTGGGGGCTCGATGTATGCATGACTTACATGATGCTAGATATCGCATATGTGATAGAACAATTAAGTTGGTACGAGATGAATCCTAGTTCACATCATTTGAAATGAAATGAGGTGTGTACTAGGATATGTCAAAGGCACACTG